TGTATTTATGTACAAGCAAAAACTGTATTTGAGTAGGGTGTTTTACCACTTTGTAGGAAGATATGAGCTAAAATAATTATGACTTGGTTTCCTTACATATTTAAACAAAATTTCATCATCCTATCCACTCTATTATGAACAGTAACTTCTTATATTGGTAGATAAAATACTACATACTATGTTCTTAAATAATTTAGATATCCCACTTGTTGATTTATTGTATTAGTTTATCAAAGTCTAATAATTCAATGGCGATAATGAATAAATGGGAAAAATGGAGGCCAGTAATGATTATTTGTAGGAACATGACAATGAATATACACTTTCTGCCCGCCCTCAGAAGTTGATTACTTTCTTTTTTCACAAAAGTACTCTATACCCATTTAAAAAAAAAGAATTGCCAAAACAGAAAGCCACAAAGCAACCACGATTAAGATTTGTGGTATGTGTCAATGAATACATTGGGTTTTTCTTTTTTGTGTAACTGTTATCCTGTTGCACACATAATATATCCTGCTCTGTTCCATTAACATTATATTGTAAGTATTCTTTTATGTTATTTCCCACCTCTTCATAAACATCTGAATGGCTGCCTGATATTCTACTGAGTAAATACACCCTAATTACTTGTTCCCTGTAATTGAACACTCAGGTGGATTCTAATTTTTCTCTATTATTATTAACAATACTGCTAAGAACATCTGTGGGCATAAACGTTCTCCACATTTAGTTTCTTAAGAACGATTCTCAAAGATATACAAATGTTTTTAGGGCTATAGACATTAGTCACCAAAAGGATTTTGCCATCAGCTATGTAGAAATGCAAAGTATTAAAACACAGCACAAACCTCTACATGTTCTCTCCTGTGGTAAATGCAAATGTAGAGAGAGGTAGTCTCTTCCCACAACCTTATAATTTTGAGAAATTTTTCACATTCTAGGGTCATGGCAGGATAAAATGGAAGTATCTGCAACATTTTTTATTGATTGCACTGATGTAAATAGATTTAATGTTTACAAAGTACTCTTATGCTTATTTCATCTGTTGGGTGACCAATTGAAACTGAAGTAATTTAAATATATTACACATTTTGAAAAAAATCTTAATAGGACTTTTAAATTTTTTACATACATTAATGGTCTGTGTTAATGGGAAAGAGCATAACCATGAGACTGAAAACAATCCCACTATTTTATAACACCTCATACTTCTGTGTTGACTCTATACTGAATCAATTATTTATGGCTAATCCAAAAAGGCACAGTTTACAACTTCTAGATCAAAGAAGCCCACAAGCAGAGAATGCACTAAATCCTCTCCCTTTTCCCTATAAAAATGGCTGATTTTTTCCGGGGATTCAATTGAATTTTTTTTTTTGCTTGGGGTTGTTGTTGCCCGGAATTTTTGCTTTTTTGTTTCCGGAGGTTTTCCGGCTTTAAAAAATTTTTTTTGGGCGGGTTTTCCTTTTGACCTTTTTTTTCTTTACCCACCCTTTTTTTCCTAATTTAAAACAAACCCCAAAGAGTTTCAGAAAAGATCATAGTCTCCCATCCATCCCTCCCTTGTCGCAGATATGTAGAAAAGGGGAAAGCAAATTTGTGGATGGGCAGACACATAAGGATATTGCCATTTACCTGCCTTACACAAAACACTATTTTAACACTCACCAATCCCTCCTTTCTATCACTCAATTATTTATCTGCATACT